AGAGCGTCTGAAGATCGACGCCTTTAAGCGAGAGCTTCCCCTTTGCATGCAACTCCTCACCAATGGTACATATATATATATATATATCTATACATGGACTTACATGTTTATATAACATATCGATATGTATATGCTATATGGGCATATGTTTTGTTTTTTTGTCTCGGGTCTATAACTCGTTTGTTCACTCGTAGGCAAATACTGTTTCTATATGTTATATTTTTTTTTTCAAAGTAATATATATCATGTAAGCTTTTAAGTATAGTTATAGGATTTTGTGCCCTTTACCCGCAGATCATTTGATTTTCTCTTGGAAAACTTTTCCTTTTATCTTTATATTCATTGATTCAAGAGTTTCGTTCATAGAAATCAGAGCTTGCTTTTGTTTCTTTCTTTGAATTCAACACACCCTTTTGTCTCCTCGATGAATCAAAGATAAAAGAGATTTAAAGGGTATATGTATGGCTTGGGAGAAATTTCAATTTCCATTAATCTTTTCTTTTCCTTGGAACTTTATCTTTTCAGCTGTGGAAGTTTACAAGCAACAATTACAAGCGTGTAGAGCAAATGGTGGCAATAACCATGGTGCAAGACCTGTGCTTGAAGAGTTCATACCTCTAAGAAGCTCAGACAACAATAACCACGAAAAGGCCGATAATAAGGCCGGATGGATGACAAATGCTCAGCTGTGGAATCAAACGGCGGCAGATGAAACGAAACCACACGTGGCAATATCCGCGAAAGGAGATACCGATATCACTCTCGGTGTTGCTGCAAGTCCCAAACTAGGGTTAGACGCGAAACCTAGAAACGGAGGGGCGTTCTTGCCCTTTTCGAAAGAGCGATCTTTGCCCGAATTGGCCCTCTCGAACTCTGCTGATAACGTCGAGACTGAGGATGTCCAGAGAGTTTCCGACAGTGGTGGAAAACCTGTCATCCAACAAAACAAAGGCCAAAACGGTCATCTAAACGATTCACAAGCAACGATCGAAACCAATAATGCGAACTTGAATGGAGCTTCTTCGACCAGTGGTGGTGCGGCTCAAACTAATAGGAAGGCACGGAGATGTTGGTCACCGGACTTGCATAGGAGATTCGTTCAAGCCCTTCAAATGCTTGGCGGCTCTCAAGGTAAATAATATTTCAAATGTTATATTTTGGTCAAATTTTCAAAAGAATCGCTCAAATACATCATCGTGCAATGATTATGGCGTTATCTATTTTGTAATTTTCTAATATATTGGTTATTACAGTGGCCACACCGAAACAGATAAGAGAACTAATGAAAGTTGATGGTTTAACGAACGACGAAGTGAAAAGCCACCTCCAGGTAAATTTCCCATATAAACTATATATCGTCAAAAAGCCGATGTTTGGTGTTTTATTTTCGGACAGGGAAAATGATTATCTGAGTACAATATCTCACTTATGTTTCATCCTTTTTTGTCCTTTGGTACGGCGATAATTCAAAAACAGAAGTACCGGCTTCACACAAGAAGACCGAGCCCAAGCCCACAAGCCACAGGTGGCCCAGCACCGCAGCTGGTGGTCCTAGGTGGCATCTGGGTCCCACCGGAATACGCGACAGCGGCCCACGGCGGCGGTCCGGCGATCTACCATCACCACTCGACCGCAGCCGCAGCCCATCATCCTCCGCCGCCGCACTTCTGCTCTGCTTCCGTTCCCCAAGAATTCTACACCTCTTCCGCTGCTCTACCGCCTCTTCCACCGCCGATCCACCACCACCACCACCACCAGATTCATGCTTACAAGGCGACATCATCAGCCTCGCCGGATTCTCCTACCGGCCGCGACAGTACGCCGGAGGAGGGCAGGTCGGAAAGTGGTGGAGAGAGGAAAGGGTTGGCCGCTCTGAAGGAAGAAGGTGAGGAGAGCAATGGAAGTGAAATAACTCTCAAATTCTAGGGTTTTTTGTTTGTTTTTGTTTTTGGTGGGGCTGCAGGGGGGTTGTGGGCGTGGGTTCTAGGGTTAGGTTTGTAACTACGTCGATTTACTTGCATGCATTTTCCATGCTTGTCTTGGCTACAAAAAAATCATAGGGCAGTGATAGTGAGTCTTATTATCAATGATCATCATCATCATCATCATCATCACCATCACCATCACCATCATGTGTTTTGGATTGAGTTGTAGGAAAGGCATAATGACCTTTTTTTTAACTGAGAAATAAGGCATAATGGATGACGGAAACAGTTTGAATTCTCTCTCTCTCTCTCTCTTTTTTAATGAAATCTCTTACTTTATTAAATTTATGGACCGTAGTCCTAATTGAAAAACCTACAAATAATCGAGTTCCATACACACCTACACACACACACATATATATATATATATTTAACAGAGATTATTTCTGATTATTACAGCATTAATTTTTAACCGACCCATGAGTTAAATATGTAACAGATTCAAAGAGAATTCATTATATAGTTTGGAGGTAGAATGCCCCCTTTCAGTTCAAATCGGCACACAGACAAAAACATTGTTTTCTTTTTGTTTTTTTCTTTTGGATATTGAAAGACATGAAAAATTTACATTAACATTTTAGATATATATATATATACATATATATATATATAATGTCTATTTCATCTCATCTCGTGTGCCACATGGTCCAAATGTATATGATAAAAGATCTCTCCCCCTCTGATACGACTCGAATCTGTAATGGAAAAGATATTTTAATATCTTTCACCAACCATAGAATAATCGTACACTATTTTTAGAATCGCCACAAATATATTGATACAGCATATAGTAGTAAACGTTACTTTACGATTTTAGTAAGTCCGTTACACAATATTTTATTCACTTTTTTTTTTTGGTATTCAGATTAATTCACTCCATCTTCGATCTAACTATACATCCACCGTGAACCGTAAGATACCTGTAATTAAATTGTATAATTGCTTTCCAACAACCACTCGAATATGAGATCTGGAAAACGAATATCCTTCCCTTCTCAATCAGCTACACCACTCGACCTCCTCCGATTGGATAATATTGTAATAAACTTTGAACGAACTTAAATAATTCTTTATTTTCAAAACCTTGTAAACTTCATCGTGATCGATCTTAGCGAAGTTTTATTAAGTGGAGAAGTTATATAATCCACTTTACTTTACTTGAATACCATAAGTCCATCCATTAAAATACCATTTAATTAATGATAAATCCCATAAAAATTCTTTAACTTGTAAAATGGTGAAAAACTAATTCCTAAACTTTTTATTTGATAAATTTATTCTCAAACTTGCAAAATGTATCATTCTAATTCTCAAACTAAATTATGGATTAATATCGTTGGAGTTTTTTCTAGCACCAATTAACTTGTTTGAGAATTATAGTCACACATTTTGTAAGTTTAGGAATAAATTTATTAAACAAAAATTTAGGAATTAGTTTTCCACTATTTTGTAAATTTAGGAATTTTTATGGGTTTTACCCTTTAATTAATGAGAATCTGTAACTAATGTCTTTAAAACATTTATTCTAAAGCAGTCCTTTTCTTTTAACTTTAATTTTATCTCCCCTCATTTTTCCTTAAAGCGAGATACTTGAATAGTGGGAAAAGCGTGTCTCACGTTCTAATCATCCAATACGATACGCTTCAAACGGGTTGAAATATCAAAGTTCTTGATTTTTCCACCCATACGTTTGCAAGTTCTAACAAAGAATTTTATTTGGCGAATGATAAATCTGATGCTAAAATTTGTTGGGTAATACTGTTCAAGAATTATATATATATATATACTATAAGAATATATAGTTCTTGTAATTTAATTCATAACATATTTACATATGTGTGTTGGGGAGGACGTTTGGTGTTATGAGATATGGTTGCCTAGTCGGGCCAGATATTTTGTAAGAAATAATTTTTTTTTATCATTTTATTTGTTGAAGAGTTTTATGTAACCCTAGTTAATAAAAATCTCTATATTTTCACTAGGAATCTATAGATTTTCTAAGAAACTAGTTCCACTTCCATGTTGTATGTAGGTTTTATATTAAACTCATTTGCAAAATTAATCATTCATACGTTTCTATTGAAGTTTGCAAAAAATAATAAAAACTAAAAACTTTGTAGGTTTCAAATCTTCCGACCTTTCTTTTATTGTTCTCCGATTCGCTTGTTTGTGTAAACTATCGTCGTCTAACCCGAGATTGGGCGAATCACCTGATAAGGGGCAAAACTCCTTTCCAATCTATCTTCGACTCTTCATTTGGAAAGAGGTATTCACATTCACCTGGGCTTTTCCAATCTTTCTGGTAGATGTAGTTAGAATGGAAAACCGATAAACTTCCATATTATAAAAAAAATAACTACAAAATGGAAACAATGTAAAAGAGAAGAAACACGTGAACAAAGAAACACAAAAAAAATGGGCAAAGAGGATTCCATTATTTCTAATTGATTGGATCCGAAATAATCAGTGGGTATTGATTTTGGGCTTTCTTGTTGGGCATTGGCCCATGATTGTTGTTGGGTTTACAAATCAGCTAAGCCTTTTGGATGTTACCGACTTTTTCCCATTGCCCATTTTAAATTTTGTTATGGTCCTCCACGGTTGAGTTTTAAAAAAAAATGTGATTTTGGTATGGGTGGGCGTTTCATAATTGGTTTGTATTCGGTTTGATTCTTTCAGTTTTACCAAAATCTGTATCAATCGGTTAATGTTTTATTTTCGGTTCGGTTCCAATTTTTATTAAAAAAAATTAGATTTTCGAATTTTCAGATTTTTATTTTAAAATTCGTTTTGATTTAGTTCGGTTTCAAAAAATACGATTTTCTAAAAAAATATTATTCGAGAATTTTGGATGGTTCAATTAAAAAAAATACTGTATTTTTTGATTCGGTACGGAACCGAACCGAAATGCTCACCCTATTTTTGGGATGGGAGAGAAAATGTGAGATTTCTCTCCCTAAGAGCACATTAAAATTAAATACAAACTTTATAAATCCAACCAAAATCCGAAAATTTTAAATTAATATAATATATTTTTCTCTTGTCCATAATCAGAGTTTACTTGGCAAACTATATTTAGACGGGAGGGAGGCACATTTGACCATGGACTGTCCCTTTTCCTATCAGAAAATTCCTAACTAAAACAGCTGCACGTAACTAAAAAAAAAATGGAAAAATCCATAAAAATAAATTATAAACAGATAAATTTTAAAAATAATCTCAAAATTTCTAGAATGCTAACACGTTGAAAACGAGTAAAAAAAGCTTCAAATACTTAGAATTTTGAACATTAAAAAAAGAGAGAAAAGAACAGAAAATAATTTATTGCAACATCTATTTTTGCTATGTATTACAATGAAATTATTTGCACTCTTGCGAAATAAACAAAAAGAAAATTACGAAAAAATAATATCAGATGAAAATAAATAAGAAAATATCTATTTTATCTAATTTTTTTCTTTTTTTATGGATTTAATTGATTGGTTGATTTGTTTCTCAAATTGCTCTCATTCATTTTCAATTATGTCCAATTTTTCCAAATCATCTATAATTTTCTTAGACCGAGAACTTCAGTTTATCATTTATATTCATCATTTCAACATTTCCTTCACAATTGGTTTAAAGAGAATTCAAAAGCCAATCTTAGAGAAAAAAAAAATGTGAAATGACTCATGAACAATAATTTCGTTGTCACCGGAACAATCCATATATAACAAATTTGATTCTTTGATTATGATTTTGATCTAATTTGTCATAATTACTCGTTTGATCTCGAAGTATACTTTTTTTTTGGTCATAATTCCTCGTTTAATACTAAAAATTTATTTTCTTTTTAAAAGATTTGAGTATACAAATATCTAAAATACAAAGAAAAAGAGATTATAAAACTAAAACAACAAAGAAAATAATATAGAACAGTGATATTATTTTAAAAATTATAATATATATATTAAATAAAAAAGAAAAATATAGAAAATCATTTATTATTACATTTAATCCAACAAATACACTAAAAAGAAAATTACAAGAAAATAAGATTAGGTAAAAATAAATAAGAAAATATCTACTTGACTAACTAATTTTTTTTTTAGATAAATGAGTATCATGAGTTGAGATCGCGTGAACGACTTGAGATTCGAATTCATGACGAGATTCGAATTCAGGACGAGAAAGACGAATTAACTAAAGTTTTAAATAGATTGTTTTACAAAATTATTAACTTTTTGAGAGTTTCTAAAAAATTGATTCCAATGAACTTTTTCGTATAAATTTACGAAAGTTTTTATAAGAATATATAAATTTTAAAATTTTTCGCATATAACCACATAAAAAACTAACTGAGATTATGTTTTTTTAATTTAAATAAAAAAAATTTAAAGTTTTCATATTTTTATACAAAATTAAAAGTTTATATATTTATTTACCAAATTTAAATTTTTTTTATGTTTGATTACGATATTCCTATATATATATATTGAAATGCTTTGTCTGGCTCTTATTTCTCGCTTTCCAAAATTAAAATTATAATCAATACCAGAAAAAGTTGTAAAATAGAATCGAATATCTTTATAAAAAATAGATAACGGGATATGTTCCAATAAAAAAATTAATGAAAAAAATTAAAAGATTCACATGAAACCCTCTTTCGGCCAAGTTGTAAGCAACTGCCCGGAAATCTTCACATCGTGGTACGCTTTTGACTATTCCGTCACCACGTTTAACTAACATTATTATATTAATGTGTATATATATATATATATATATATGTATATGTATATATCGGTGTATTTTAAATACGTAAAATGAAAATTTAAAATGGTAAATTGGCCAAGAATTCAAATCCGACTCAAATTGCTCATTTGGGTTCATAAATAATCACAGCTTTTTTCTTTGCCTTTTCCGCCCCCTCTCTCACCTCTCTCTTCTCCTCGGCTCCCTGAGGAGAGATTTTGAAGGAGAACATTCTGAACTGGGATTCTCTCCAAGGTTCGCTCCCTAATTTTCGATTTCGCTTCAATTTCTTCCTGTCCAATGCAACATCCAATTTTCCGATTTTCATTTTGCAAGTTTGATCCGCGTATTGTGTCGAATTCCTGGATTTTCTCTCTCTGGAATGGGTGATGCGTCATATATATGAGTCTTTTAGATGCAATCTGATCTGTGTCTCTCCATTTGCGTTATCTGACCTTTGATTAAATCCGTTAATTTTGGAGAGATTGATGATGAAGTGTGAATTTTCCGATCTGGGTCGAATTCGTAGATGCTGGTAGTAGTGATTTCCTTTTCATGTTTGAAGCCGACTTTGTGTTGTTTCCATTAAGATGGATTGTTTGCATATCATTGCATTTTAATGATGTAGATGATATCTGCAAAGTGAGGTTTTGAACTTGGGAACGTAAGCTAGATCGATGAATTGGTGCTTTAGAGCTCATGGATTCTGAAAAAGTTGGATTTGTTCTGTTGTTTCTGGTTTGCTTTGCTCATAAAGATATTGTTGCTTCCCGTGTCAATTTAATGTTATGTAAATCTCTCTTATTAGGGAAACCGATGTTTGAGATTTCTGTTCCTTTTTGTTTTATGGTTGTCAAGTATGGAAGGTTTACCGTTCGTATTTATGGTCTGATCCATGTTTACAAGATCGGATTTGTGATTTCTCGAAATGGGTTTTCTAAACATTTCAAAATTTTATGCTAAAAGTGCCATTCTTCCATAAATTTGCATTCGTAGGTAGTAAATCGCTAACTAGTGTTCTGATATTCGCACATGTTACTCTTCGATTTTGATTATTCATTGTTTTGATTGAGCTGCTATGTTCCGTCAATCTGATTTTCGGCTGATTTTGTTTTTAACAAGGGAAGACGATGGCTGAGGCAAATGTTGATCAGAAGCCATTAGTCCCACCTTCGGGCCGTAAGCTTCCAGACTTCAAGCAATCTGTGAAGCTCAAGTATGTGAAGCTCGGGTACCACTATCTCATCACGCATGGAATGTACCTCTTCCTCTCGCCTCTTGTAGTTGTGGTCGCCGCTCAGATCTCAACTTTCTCTATCCAAGATCTTTACAACCTCTGGGAGCATCTTCAGTACAATCTTATTTCAGTGATCCTCTGTTCTACCCTCCTTGTTTTCCTGTCAACCCTTTACTTCATGACACGGCCACGTCCTGTGTACTTGGTCAACTTCTCCTGCTACAAACCAGACGATTCCCGAAAATGCACCAAAAGGATTTTTATGGACCGATCTAAACTCACCGGTTCTTTCACGGAGGAGAATCTTGACTTCCAGCGCAAGATTTTAGAACGTTCCGGTCTCGGGGAAGACACTTACTTGCCTGAGGCTGTCCTCAATGTTCCTCCAAATCCGTGCATGGAAGAAGCTAGGAAAGAGGCAGAGACTGTGATGTTTGGTGCCATTGACGAGCTTTTGGCTAAGACAAATGTTAACCCTAAGGACATCGGGATCTTGATAGTCAACTGCAGTCTGTTTAACCCGACTCCTTCGTTATCTGCCATGGTGGTTAATCACTACAAGCTCCGCGGCAATATACTCAGCTATAACTTGGGAGGAATGGGTTGTAGTGCCGGTCTGATTTCTATCGATCTCGCCAAACATCTTCTCCACACAATCCCCAACACTTATGCTCTGGTCATCAGCATGGAGAATATCACACTCAACTGGTATTTTGGGAACGACCGATCAAAGCTCGTCTCAAACTGTCTTTTCAGAATGGGAGGAGCAGCTATCCTTCTCTCGAACAAACGATCTGAGAGAAGAAGATCAAAATACCAACTGGTTCATACGGTTAGGACCCACAAGGGAGCGGATGATAAATGCTTTGGCTGTATAACACAAGAAGAGGATTCGACCGGGAAAATCGGTGTAACCCTCTCGAAAGAGCTAATGGCAGTTGCTGGTGATGCTCTTAAGACGAACATTACGACGTTAGGACCTCTGGTTTTGCCAACAGCCGAGCAGCTCCTCTTCTTTGCAACATTGGTCGGGCGGAAACTCTTCAAGATGAAGATCAAGCCATACATCCCGGATTTCAAGCTAGCGTTCGAGCATTTCTGTATCCATGCAGGAGGAAGAGCTGTTCTTGATGAAATAGAGAAGAACTTGCAACTGTCGGATTGGCACATGGAACCATCGAGGATGACCCTTTACCGATTCGGCAACACCTCGAGCAGTTCCTTGTGGTATGAGTTGGCGTATTCCGAGGCCAAAGGAAGAATCAGGAAAGGTGACAGGACTTGGCAGATAGCTTTCGGGTCCGGGTTCAAGTGCAACAGCGCGGTCTGGAGGGCCCTGAGGGCCGTGAACCCAGAAAAGGAGAAAAACCCGTGGATGAACGAGATTCATGAGTTCCCGGTCGAAGTGCCGAGGATCTCGAAAATCTAGAACAGTTAAAAAAAAACTCTGGTTTCATTATGTTGTAGAAAATAATTCTTGTGTACCTTTGCATTTGTTTATGAGTCAGTTCTCTTGATTTCCCATTCTTGACGTTGTAGAGTTTCTTGGGGTTGTGTGATCTTTTTGGTTTTACCCAGCAAGGTTTGTAACCTTCTCTTTCACTTGGTGGGTTATGTGTATTTGGGAAAAGCCCATGGTTTCACTCCACTACATAAACTGTGAGGGCATTTGGTGTTAAACGATGAAATCTTTATGTTCATTTTATGGAATAATAGAATTGGTTATAGTTCAGATTCAAATTTAGATCTGATTTCATAAATTGAGCCAAACCATACAAAGATTTTTTTTTTTTTGGTAATCGAATATTTTGAACTAATAATTTCGAGAACGAGGTTCAATCATACAAAAATTTTAATTTTTCGCATTATTATTTTTTGCTTAACCTTAACAAAAAAAAAAAGTCAATAACTAAACCAAAGTTTGGTGTTCAATTTTTACTAACATTAAATATGAATAAACCAAGATCGGATGTTTCAATTGGTAAGGAACGAAGTTAACTTTTTTTCAACACAGTTTCCATCTCCATCCGGAGAGGTTCATTCCGCCCATTTATTATTTAAGAGATATAGTTGGATTAAAGTTATGGTGAATTTTTGAATTATAAAAAAAATATTAAATTTGAATAGGATCATAATCAGGTGAATTTTATTGGCCTCTTTGAATGTTCCAGTTTTGGTGAATCTGTTGGAAATATCAAAAGATTAGAAGAAGCTTCTGCCAATAAATTCATTGTACAAAGACTTGTGTGGATGGATTTTCCGCAGATGTATCTTAGTTCAAGGAGCTACCTGACTCATTAATATCTGCAAGATATTTTGTTGATATCGATAATATTAATATACAACTTTATCTAAATCCAATATAAAATATTTAGAAAATAAATATTTAAAAAAGCTAAATCAAATATAAAAATAACCGAATAATAACTATTTTTTGAAAAAATATTGCATAAAATATAAACTTTTTAAATTTGGTAAAATAAATAAATAAACTTTTGTATAAAAATATATTAATTTTGAAATTTTTCACATAAATCCACGTAAAAAAAACAAAGGACTTTAGTATTTGTATGTGATTGGTTGGATTTATAATTTTTTTTAAAATTTGTGTATTTTACACAAAATTAAAAGTTTTTATATGTTTATTTATCAAATTTTAAAAGTATATATTTATTTTGATATTCTCTTATTAAATTAATCCTTTTTATTAATCAAAACAAGGAAAAATTGAACCGAAAAAGAAACTCTGAAATGTTAACGTTAAAAGTCAACATGAAAAAACATTCAAGACGTTGACTTCTATGGGGAAAAACATGGGCGGCAATTTATTTATTTTTTTGGTTGTAAAATATTAATTAAATCAGAAACAACGTTTTCGTTCGTAGTTGGCAGTTTGACCAATCCATTGTGTACACACATTCATAATCTTCCACGCATAATTATTTGAATTATTCATTATAAAAAAAATTTCACCCAAAAAAAAAAAATTATTCGTATAAAAAATCCCTTCCCCCAATAATTCCAATAATCATTAAGAAAATGCCACCATTTTCATCCATCGTCTTCTTCTTCTTCTTCTTCTCCATATCTCTCCTCCATTTCTCCGTCGCCGATCTCGGAACCGCCGCCCATTACGCCCCTCCTTATCTCCGTGAGTACAAACCCTTCTCTCTATATTTTCATTCCCCATCCAAAATTCACGCACGTGCGCATTACAGAGAACTCGAACCGGTTATATATCAAATTAACACCAGACACCATATCTCTTTCTGTTCGTTCGCCCCTTGTCCGATTCCGTACAACTTTATGACTTCTCTTCTCCGTTTGATTTGTGTTTTGTGACCAGCGACGGAATGTTACGGCGGCGACGGGTCGCAGTTTCCGTCTAACGGTCAGTTCGCGGCGGCCGGAGACGCCGTATGGGACAGCCTGGCGACGTGCGGGAGACGATACGTGGTGAGGTGTGTGAGCGGAGACTGTAAGGAAGGCCAAGTCGTCGTTCCGGTCGTTGACTACGCTCCGACCACCGCGTCAACTTCCGGCGCCACCATCGTTCTGTCTGAAGCAGCCTTCGACCAGATCGCTAATCTTTCATCGTCTGTCATCAATATCGAGTTTGAGCTGTAAGTTCTCTCTTTCTCCATTCTCTATTTAATTCAAGAAACATTATGTGTTCTTGTCTTCTTTCAATTGTTTTTTTTTTTTTCAAATTTCGAATTGTTGTAATTTGTAGATATTTTAAACCAAAAAAAAAATTTGTAGATATTTTCTTTTAAAGGGCTAGATATTTTTTCGAAGAAAAAACTGAAAAAAAAGACTTGTACCATCATTAATAGATAAAGATAAAATCCAAAATAATTTATTATTTTCTAAAAGATGAAAATATTTTATTTGCAAACAAAACATAACCAAAATTCGTTATATATATTTGAAAACTTTAGATTATTCTAAATGTGAATGATATGCCTTCAATTTGTGTAGGTTTAAATACCGAAAAAAATAGATCAATGGAAAGACCTAATTAATGCTCTGATTGTTGTCTTTTATAACCTAAAGTCATTCTATATTTAAAATTAGTAAAAGCCCTAAATCAAACAAAATATCAGTATAATCTAATAAATCAGTAATGACAAATAAATTATATCATAGTATCCTAAACAATCTTGTTGCCTTTGATACATCAACTATTTTCTTTAATAAAATGAAATTTAAAATTATTTAACAATAAAACAAGATTTTCCCAATTTTTACCAAAATTTACGTGGCCTTTATATATTAATTAGTACGTAATGGGCAATGTTAGTTTTTTCTCGTGAAGCTAAATAGAAAGATTTTCGTAGTTTTTTGTAATCGAATCATTAAAATATCAATGTTTTATGGGTAAATAATAATATCTTATGTGTTTCTTACATAATTTTGCCACAAAAAAAAACGTTATTTCTTCTATCATTTCCCCTAATCATATTCCATTATATTTACTACTACCCTTGACTTTCTTTTTTTTCCCCTTTATTTGATTTGAATATCAACTTTTCCTTTCTTCCCCAATGCAGGTTATGAGGAGTATGGAATATTTATATGGATTGATAATGTATTTTTTTTTTGTAAAAGGTGAATGTGTAATTAAAAATAAAAAAATGCAAAAAAAGAATGAGAGCGTTTGATCCCAAAATGAAGTCATAAAAAACAGACATCTCCTTATTTCATTCTTCATTAATTGTTTCCATTAAAGGTTTCTATCTGCATTTTCATATGAAGAAGGATAAGAAGAGCAAAACAGAGAAAGAGTAAGCTCGATCGGGCTGAGGCAAAAGGTTCGTTTAGAACCCGAGAAACAGCGCATGTGAGGGCTCGTTCTCGTTTTTGCTTTCATTTCTATGTTTATCTAGATTCTCTCGGTGTAATCGCTTCTCCATAGGCTCAAATTTCCAAGGAATAACCTTCTCGAGATATAGGAAGAACAAGAGGTTCTAACTCGAATAGAGTGTTCTTTTATTTTCCGGTGTTTGTGCTTGAACATGTGTTTACATCGAATACGAAAGTTTGTGCGTTCGATATGCTCATATTCAAAACATTACAAGTGATATCAAAGCTTTGATTATGTGTAATGGAATAAAGTATAAGACTATGAATTCCTTTTCAAATTGAATCTCCTTAGAAACTCTAGAAACATAGGGGTATTATTAGTACAAGTCTCACAAAGAAGCTTTAACAGATTGAGTCTATGTGGTACTGATTACACAAAAATCTTTTAAAGGAACATAACTATAGGAAAATTGGTTCTGGTCACATTTGTAATGGGCAATGCTAAAACTTGTTCAAATCCCTATATAAAACTCATTTCAGACGGAGTAAATTAGAGAAAGCCTCGGATTGAGGCAGAAGGTTCAGAAGACGTCATGTTGTATCCTTCTTAAGACCATCATAAAGGCATTCAGATTGTTAATGATCGTTTAAAATTCGAGAAACATAGCATGTGAGAAGACCCACTCTCGTTTTTTTTCCTTTATTTTCTTGTTATATCGAGATTCTCTTGGGACAATCGTTTCTCCAATATAAACTTGTATTGTTAAAGGAACGAAACTTTTCTTTTTTTTTTGTTATCGTTTGGAAACCTGTCCTACAGCCTTCGGGTCGGACTCCGCAACGCCTCGCAACCCCCTAAAGGCCAGACGAATGACATAGTACCACGGACAATAAATCCATACGGCTCTACGCAACAGCAGACAAGCCACGAAGAGCAGATAATCCAGTCGAAACTGATCAGTTCGGGAGACAACTTGACATCAGAAGGAATCAAACCCACAATCTCGAATAGAGGTGCTTGTTATTTTTCAACTGAGATGGACACTTCCCCCGAAACTCTAACCTTTTTGAAATCCAGGGCAAACAAAATGATCGATCCAAACTCATAAATTGCAGATATTCTTTTAATGTATGTTTTGCCGTCTCCATCACCATCACCATCACCATTAAGTTGCTTTTTGGTTTTTCAAGATTTAATAAATTTTTTCAACAAAAAAAGATTTAACATATAATTTATTTTTGTTATGTTTTATATATGTGATGCTTTGGAATTTTTGTTTGTTTACTAAATTTTGGAACGTGGTACAACCTCTTCATCACAAAATCGAAGACAACATCATCTCCATAACCATCATCTTATTCCGTTATTGAATATATATATATATATATAATCATAACCCTAGGCTAGGGTTACTCCTGCCCACGTATTCGTGAATTGTTTTCGATGTTTGAAAGTTCAAACTAGATAGGGTATCAATTTAGACCCGAAATCCGAAACTTCACCTAGTCTAATCCAAAAAATAGCAAGTCTCAAACTTAAATTTTTCAATAAAATAAAAATCGGACTTTCACACCGAATTTGAATCAGATTTCGGATCCGATTCTGACCAACTAGAAAGTTCGATAATTTTTTTAAAAAAATTTACAAAAGATTTTCAACGGATCGATCTATCTCGATGCGAGTCTGAAATTTATAAGGTCGGACTTTGGCCTTGCTTATATAAAATTATAAATCCCAAAAAAAATTGAATCAATCCAGATCCGAATCCAAAACCCTGGGATCGAATGCGCGGGGACCGGGTTGGTGGGTTGGGTGGACTCGGCCCGATTGACACCCTAAATGGGTTGCGTGAACTTTCTCTTTGGTTCGGTACGCACACGTGAAAGCCGTAAAGTTCCAACAAATACAGACATAAATCGGAATTATCCACATCGCTTTTGGACTTTTCTCCTGCAATCATCAATCAGGCACAAACAATCCCATCTCTCTCCATCTTCTGTATTCTTCGCAATAACTCCCACACCCGGACATGAGTTTATCCGACCCACCATAATAGCATCCACAATTTCTCTGCAAAATTCGGAATTTCCTCCAGATTCTGACTTTTCGTGCTGACCCATCGAAGTTTCTCATCCTGATTCTCCGTCTTTTTGAAAATCAGGGTTTCTTTTCGGCGGTGATCGAAGAGTTTGATCATGCAAGGTGAAGTACAGTTGCAGCCACCGGATTCGCAGAAGCTGAGTGACTCGGCTCCTTTGTTGGGCGATTCGCCGTCGTCTTCTTCTTCTTCGTCGCCGGTTGCGTCTGGATCGCCGGAAAAAAGCTCCGATGAGATCAACGATGAAGATTTGGAGTCTGGTGCTTCAGCTCCTTGTTGCCGGATTTGTCTCGAAAGCGACTGCGAATTCGGTGATTTATAATTCTTCTCTCTCTCTCTCTCTCTCTCTCTCTCTCCAGCTTGACTTCAATTCATCTGGGGGTATTCGATCGGATCATTATTTTGCAATCTGTTGATGTTTATCGAAGCATCAGATTTGGGTATTGGAAATTGTAGTGTAGGTTGTGTTTCATTCTTGGTCTCGATTCAATAGATAAGAGTGATCAATTGGGATTCTAATTGCCGATTAGAGAATAATGTTAATTTTTTTCTGGGTATCTGAAAATCCCTAATTCACTACGAACTTAATTGCCTTTTGTAATGTTCTATATTGGAGTGATATAGGAGTTGTATCTAATGCCATTCTTTCAGGTAGATCGATCTGTTAAGAATTTATATTTTTGTTGGTAGCGATTTACGCCATAGATGTTTGTTGATGAACCCTTTGGACTATTTTGGAACTCGGCTTTACTGGAAGCGTAATTTTCGTATTTATAGAATTTTCCAGGTTCTGTTTAAACTTGATTTTGTGTTTACCTGTGTTTCATGTAGATGTGATTTAGCTGTAATGGTGGAATTGGTTTCCGGGTTTCCGAGACTTTATCTATGTACCATAACCATTTCGTCAAGGAAGAAATAACCGGCATTTGTTTCTCTTTATAGTGTGTCCTGTAATGTCTGAACAATGGATCTTTTGTAAATGTTTTTTTCTTGAAGCCATAAATGTTGTTTGTTTGGATTTAGATGATGAATTGATATCACCATGCATGTGCAAAGGGACTCAACAGTTTGTCCACAGGTCATGTCTCGATCATTGGCGATCAGTTAAGGTAACATTCTACATTGCTGCTTCCGATTACGTTTCTTTTAGATGTTCATGGTCCAGAATCCAATTAATGTTTCAAATTTTCGATAGGAAGGATTCGCTTTCTCTCACTGCAGCACTTGTAAAGCTCAATTCCATCTCCGTGTTGAACCATTTGAAGATAACTCTTGGCGTAAAGCAAAATTCAGACTTTTTGTCGCAAGAGACGTGCTATTGGTTTTCTTCGCTGTCCAGACCGTGAGTTTCTTCATTCCTATGTTTTTTAAGTTTAAGTGAAATTGACATTAGATGTTCTTTTTCCTAATCATTTATCTTTTGTCTGATGAAAGTTTTTATTCATTGTCCATCTCGATAGTGGTTATTTTATTGGTTTGCCATTGGCAAAGCTTGTTTTCCATGTGATTCTGTTCCACGTTTTCTTTTCCGTGAATACAAAAGGCAGATGTACAATCTCCCGAGAAATAAAACTCTAAAATTATACGTTAAAATGGTATTTCGGCTTTTAGGTTATTGCTGTGATGGCTGGCTTTGCATACTTGATGGACAAAGATGGAGCCTTCCGCAACTCTTTCGATGATGACTGGGACCGTATATTATCGAAACATCCGATACCCTTTTACTATTGCATTGGTAATTTTCCCTTTTTCCTTATCTCCCAATTAAACCCTCTCGAAATATGTCGGTTATAAATTTGTGTTGTCCAATCAATCAATGATGATAGGTGTGATATCCTTCTTTGTGCTGCTTGGATTTTTCGGGCTGATACTGCATTGCTCTTCTCTAAATGCCAACGACCCGAGGATGGCGGGGTGCCATAACTGCTGTTACGGATGGGGTATATTGGATTGTTTCCCGGCTTCGATGGAAGCATGTTTCGCCCTCGTTATCGTATTCGTCGTCATATTTGTCATTCTCGGGTTAGCTTATGGCTTTCTTGCTGCAACTATGGCTATCCAGAGGATCTGGCAGAGACATTACCACATCCTCACCAAGAGAGAACTCACAAAGGTACTGCATATATATGTATGTATGTATGGTTTTATACCGTATTTTTTTTACGAGAAAGTCGAGAAACCCGTTTCTGGGAATGCTTCGTCGATGCAGGAGTACATTGTGGAGGATCTTAACGGATGTTACACGCCTCCGAAGCTCGATGCAGAGCACGAGGCGCGGCTGAAAATGCTGAAACTTCTTTGATCATAAAGGTTGAGAGAGAGAGAACTGTTGAATCATCGGACGAGCAGAAACGAAACGCCAAATGCTTCGGACAGAGACGAAGTCACATGTCTTGTTATTTTACGACACAGTTAAGGACATAGCCGCATGATGAATATACACAATATCTGCCTTTGAACTGCATTTTGTAGTTATGCCATGTTGCTGTTGTTACTTAGCCTATGGGAGTCTAACCAGCGAGATGCATATAATTCGATCGGAATCCTAGTGTGTACCTCCGCACAGATACCCGGTTATCCAAAAAAAATAAATAGTATCCGAATCGAGCATAACAATTTGTCAGAATCAAAGATTTGTAACACGAAACATCGATTTGGAACCGTTCGAAAAATGTGAGTACGATTAATGAGTCGAGTATCCAAAATTTTGGGTATTCGAATATCGGTAAGATAAGTATGGATTTTGGCGATGATGAGAATTCGTCCAATCGTCACTCACTCCTCCGGCCTCGGACAAGTCTTTCCTCACCCATTCGCCTCTTTCTTCTTGGCCTCGTCATGCGAAAGGGCTTGACAAAAAAAATCCCGAATTTCGGATACTCAATCCGATCCACGGGTCGGATACCCGAAGTTTTAGATATATAAGGAATGGGATAGAGATCGGGTAATGATATTGGAATGTCCAAAATTTTCACCTTTGGGTTCGAATATGAGATATCGTTTTCCAGATAATCGACCAATACAGAATTTAGAATTATATGTTTAAATTTTAGGTTTTAATTTATTTACGAATGTCATTGTATATATAATCTTTTTAAGTCATTATTTAACTATTTCAAAATATTTTTCTTTTTTACATCATTTAAGAGATAAATCTATAAAATTGATTAAATGACGTTTCTAGATATTGTGTCGTATTATTTGATTTCAGTGATTATATGTGGATATTGTTGCATAAATTTATAAAATATATTTATGGAATTTGGATCGATTTTTTTTATATATAAATATGTTTTAAATTGATTTTGAATATATATAGAAGTTTAGTTAAAAAATTGATTGAAAATAATCGATATCCGATTTACGGATACGAGTTCGGATAATTAAACATGTAACCCGATACATTCGGACTCTGGTTCAGCTCCTATGGGCCGTGTACCCGAGGCGTTATCGTTGCGTCCTGCAGTATCCGAAGTTCCAATACGCAATTCTCATGAGTCCGGGATCGATTAATCCGATCGCAAGAAACGCACCCAGGACTCGTCGATGATAGCAAAGAAGACAATGGATCGACATTCACGTGCAGCATCTGATATATTCCGATACATCCTGAAACAGAAACAAAAGATTCCGACCCGAAAAAACCGAAACGCACAAGCCACAGCGCGAATTCTCTTCGCTTCGAGAGATTCGACTAGGCGAAGTTCACAATCATCAGGGAATGGAAACAAACATCGTGGGTTTAAGACTGTAAAAACCATCCTCTGTGTGTGTGTGCGTATTCTGTTACTTATCATACTTTTCATTTTGGCCGAAACCCGAAACCCGAACAAACCTTTACATCGGTTTTGCTCCTACGAATCTCGATCCCGCTCCTGGATCGGCCTCGTCACATATATTTCAGCGAAAAAACCGAAAAAAAATCGTGTGGAGAAGTGAACAGAATACCAGAAGAAAAAAGATGTTATGATCTTGATTCCTTCTCTACTCGTGGGAGTTCCACCTTGTTAGGATCTTGTGATTCATATCTGCTTGCAAAGACGAGATGATCGCCGTCTCGAATAACTTCGATATCGTCGATCTCTGCGTCGTCTTTGTTCGTTACTTTGGCGTTAACGATCCCGAATTTCGAGGACCCGAGTTCTAGAAGCTCCTGCAAACTCCCCGGAAGAAGAACAAGCTTCCCCGACACGTCGCCTTTCTCGGGGCAACTTACGGTTACTCTCGCCGTTCCGACGTCTCCTCCCCGAGCCTTGACATTCGTAGAAGAAGCCTCATCGACTGTGAATAACGAGTTCTTCTGCCCGTTCTGATGGGCTAAGATCCCGAACAAAGAGTTGTGGAAAGTGTTGGTCTTCCGCCTCGGACGTGATTCCGGGATCCTGAACGACACGTCTCTAGAAGCAGGCCGGATGTTCGGCTCGCTAGTGAACCTTCCGAGAAAACGGATCGAGCTTTTCGGTATCGGGACTGACGCGCTACTCTCGATATGTGTCTTCTCCTCCTCCGCCTCCTGTCGGGCTCGGAAAAGGGCTTTGATTTCCTCATGCCCTTGTTGCTCGGCAAGATCCTTCGGCGTCCAACCATGCATATCCTGTTTGTTCACGTCCGCACCTTGCTTCAACAGAAACTTAACAATTTCGATGTTTTCTTCACATACGGCCGAGTGGAGGGCCGAGGTTCCAGTGATTCGGGGTCGGGTAACGTCTCCACCATAACGGACAATCTCCTTTAGCAAATCGAGCTTGTTTTGCTCGGCTGCCGTGCAAGCAAAGTGACCGACATCGCCCGCTTCTATGGTTGCTCCGTTTTCCAAAAGGGCCTTCGCTACTTTCTCGTGCCATCCCTGCATTGCCTCCCACAGCGGTACATTCCCTTCGTTGTCTGCACCATATGTTAAAAAAAGGTTATCGATCATTTTACAGATGATAACCAAGAAATCATTCTCCAAACACGAATCCATGTCGAAACGAGAGCATACAAAACCTCGGTATAAAACAGGACACTGCATAATCTCTTGCTTTCTCTCAGGACACTATTATCATACTTCATATTTCAGAACGTTTATTCGAAATGAAAAGCTCGACGTAATGCAATGTGAAAATGTGTCATCGGAAAAAAAAACATACGTAAAAGCAAAACCCGGGTTTTTTTTTTTATGAAATCGGAAGAGATTATAAAAGAATGGGGAAGAGAAATTTACCTCTGCAGTTGGGATCTGCATGGTGATCCAACAGAAGAAGCACACAATTCAGGCTTCCTTTTGATGCTGCTATATGCTGATTTCGCCCGAAAAAAAAAACAAAACCCGAGAAAAAAAAACAAAGAATCGATATCATATTTCCATGGAAATAGCTGCGGAAAGAAGAAAAATGGAAAAAGAAGAAAAGCGGATTCCACGGACCAAAGGTGTTCTGCCATTGTTATCCGACTCGTTGGGATCATGTCCATTCTTCAGCAACTGATGTAAAAGCAAGTCGTCTTCCCTTAGGGCGGCGAAGCACAGATTGAGAGGAAGATCCATCTTACCCCGAGCAAGCATGTGTTCCGTCTCTACGAGAACGTTCTTTATCATCGGATCATCCATTTGTTTCAAGCGCTGCTCGACATTGACAGAGAGCAAAAAATCAAAAATTGTTCATCGATAGCATCAGTTTCGATCCACAAAAACGACCAGGGTTAACCAATTTTTCTCACCTCGAGCAGATTATTCATGATTACAGTGCCATCTCCGACGTTAGCCTGAATAATGTTCAAGAAATTCGTACGGTTCATACGTAAAAGTTGGCATAAACGTTTCGTCCGCACTGTATACAGCTGAGGTCTATAGCATAGGACTCCAATCTCGCCAATTATGTCTCCAGCTCTCGCCTCATCCACGACCTGAAATTCTCCATAACTACTCCTTGTTAATGCCCTCGATACCTCTAAACTCCATGATCAATACTTCGGCGGGAAAATAAAACGAAGAAGACTCACTTGTTCAGATCCATTTTTGAGAACTATCAAATCCTGAAAAATTGGGACATTACAAAAAAAAAAAAAAAAAACAGATTGGTTTCATTCTTTCAACTTACACACATCCTGTGAACAGATTTTATTCATTGATGAATATGTTTATTACCACAGCACCCGTAACAAGGATGTAGAAGTCGGTCGGGGCCTCGTTCTGCAAGATCACATCTTCTTTGGGCGGAAAGTATTCGGCTTTCATTTCCGAGACCTGTAAAAAGTTTACCGCTATGAGAGCCGGTAACTGCAGTTTTTGACTGTGTATACAATATTTGGATCGGTTACCAGTTGGAAGAGCAGATCATTAGATACCCCACGGAAAAGGTACGCCTTATCCACGAGAGAGTAGAAAAGGAAGTGTGATACGCTAGATCTAATGGCTTTCGGGAGTGCATCTAGGGTTTCTTGCTGTTGAAGCCCCTCTGAATCTGTCCTAAACTTCAAACATAAATGAGCAACCATCTGATCTTGCAGCCGAGGTGGTAGACGATTACGTCGAGCAAAATTTGAAGCAGCTTGAATCGTGTCTCTCTAAAAAACGGAAAAAATGTTAGCGGGTTTTCCGAAAGGCATTTATATTCATGTTTGTAAGCTTTACAGAGTGGTGGAAGAGAAGCAAACTCACAAATTTCCGAGTCCGGCTCGTTCCATGGACGACCAAATTGGTCATGTTACCGATCAAATATGCCGTCAATCCCAAGTTGAAGAGCATATAGAAAATATCGAAGGTCATCTCCTTGGTGTTAACTGGATGCAGATCACCATAGCCAACAGTGGTTAGAGTAGTGATAGACCAATACATTGAAGTAACATATCTCATCCATATGCTTTCCTCGAGGAAGTTTCCATTTGATGATCCAATCCAAGTGTTTGCCGGGTTATGGTTACGTGCCGCAATAAGGTAATAGAAACACGCAGCACAATGAACTGCAAACACTGTAACCTGAAACAACCTCCGAAATTTCGAGAAATAAGCAGTAATAATAAGACAATGATGTCTGAAGTAAAAGAAATTACAGGAACATGATTCGTTTTTACGGTTCTTACACAAATGAGTTTTGCACACCGGACCCAGAAGTAGTTGAAGTTCCGATCTTTCTCCAGTCTGTAAAAAGACACAATAAAAAAACGGAAGGGAAAACACAAAATTGAATTGAAGAGATTCTGTTGTCTGAACCTGGCAAACATGGCACTGACTCTTCGTAGACGCCAGAGGCGAAGCATGTTGAATAAACCATAAAATTGGGATGAGATTTTGAAAGCAAGCTCTGAAGGAATGGTTGATATGAAATCGAGGATGAACCAAGAACGCAAGTACTTGAACGCAATCTTTTTGCGCTCATCAACCAGTAGATAAGTGGATTTATCGAGGTAACTGACGAAGAACGTTAAGATAATATCAATAGCGAAGAATCCATTAACGATGTTGTCCATGATCGAGAGTGGTCGCCTCGGCCTCCTTAGGAAGCCGAACTCAAAGGGCGAAACCCAAGCAGTGTATATGACAAGAACCACAAGAAATGCCTCCCATATTCTGCATCGAAAAATCTCAGCCCAGATTAACTTTGACTGATCATTGATCCTTGGATTCAAGTAAAACCCAGAAAAATTTAATTGGCAAAAAGCCTCCCCATTTTTTTTTGTATAGAACAGTTTCATCTCAGATTCAGTAAAACTATATCAAAAGATTCAAAGTGACACTTTAGAGAAACAACCACGAAGAAGTTAATCAACTTATGAGGATTGACTCTATATGTGTTTTGACTGATTATGGATCATAGTGTTTCAGATTCAGAATTTCAGATTCAGACAAAACACAAGGAATGTGATTGGTACAATGTGAAAATGAGCTTTTCAGGAGATTCTACGAAGCTCTCAGATCCTCCACAAGTCTGGAACTGTGTTCCTTTGGACTTTTCACGACAAAGAGACAAAGAGACAAATCAAAATTGGAGGCATTGAATCTTCCACATTTTGTTTCCCATCACACCAACCCATCAAAACACAAGCAGACATATATATCACGTGGATGTGTGTGTATATATGTGTACATATATCTCAAAAAGGCAACAACGGAAAGCTAAAAGGTGAGAACTTTCCTCTCCTTAAAGCCAACAGGAAAAAGGTGAACAGCTGAATCTTTTTGAACAAAACAATCAACCAGAAAGACATACAAAAAAGCAAAAAACTCCAGAAAAAATAATAGAATATTCTACATATAGTATAAAAATAGAACTTGACGTTACACAAACACTGATTCTTTTTTTAAAAAAAATAATTCGTGCCCCAAAAAAAGAGTAAAAAATGATAAATCTTTAGATACCAGTAAAGCATGATTCAGAGAACTTCCGATAATTTAGAAGGAGAAAGAAAAAGGGTCAAAATCTTCGATCTGAATTGTCTTTTGGGTAAAAATTTGATAGTCAGAATCAGCCAAAATTAGAGTTTAAAGAATAAACTAAGCAAAGGATTTCAACACAGAGAAGTCGCCAAAACCCTAAAAACCTGTCATGTAAACAAAACCCTGATTTTCTTCATGGTCTGAGTCGAATCTAAGAACAAAAAGATAACCCAGAAAAAAATTCGCAGAGTTTAGAACATGGTCTCCGATTTCTGAGTGAGAAACATGCTTAGATCGCTCCTAGGAACATGGCAAAAACCCAGAAACCAGAAACCCTGAAAACTCGACATACCCAATAAATTTCGAGAAACCGAGAAGAAGAAAAAAAAGCACAAAAACCCTGGTGAAGGAAAAAAAGAGAGATTTCCAAGTGGTTTTGACCTGTATCGACGATCATAAGGAGAGATGAGGAATCTCTTGAGCTTGACTCGTCGATTACTTCTCGCACCGAGAGAAGGCAAAATCCCAGTGGAGAGACTGAAATGGCTGCTTTCCCTGGAAATCTGCTCAATCTCATCATCCACTTCGTGACCGCACAACAAAACCCCTCTGTTCATCATTCTTCCTATGAGCGCATGTACATATAATCCACCGATCGTATCTCTGCGTGTATGTGTGTATATATATATATATATATGTAGATGTGGGTTTTCACCTTTTTCCCCCTTTTTCAGTAGGAATCGTAGGCTACGGAGGCGGGCTTTAAATTCCCCTCTGTCCCTCGTCAACTTCCGATTCAAGGGACTGTCATACTTATGGAGCTCGTGTGGGACCCACTTAGACGACCAGTAAACAAAAATAATGTAAATTCGGCAAGAGCCCATAAGATATCCATTTTTGGGATTCAGATCCATTATGCTTATAAACGGGTCTATGAATTTCGGTGTTTCCTTATATGTCGATTTATTTATTTTTATTGATTTTTTTTTCCAATTTATAAACCCTTACAAAGAATTCGTTACTGTCGAATTAATACATTAATTTGATTTTAATATAGTAATATAATAACTATTTTGAATTTCAAAAAATACGACTATTAAGATTTAAAGCTATAAATTGATATATAAATATTATTTTTAAATTTAGGAATTACCCATATCAACATTTGATAGAGTATCACTCATCCTATAGAAATTTATTACCAACTTCTAAATTAATATACATTTTAAAATATTTGAGAAATAATTTTTTATAAAATGTCTCGAAACCGAAGTGATTGGAAAGTATAAAAGTCATTATTAAAAAAAATCAATACATTTATTAGTTGTTGTATATTTAGATTAGATTATATCTACGGTGGAAGTGTGATGAGCCCATAACCCACAGGTACGAAATCAAACTATTCTATAATAAGATTTGGGCAATAATACGATGATAATGGAATATATTTAAATATATAACTTAATTTTCTCTCATTAAAAATGGATAACTCCAATTCTAATAATAAACACACCGATATTTAAACTATATATGAAATGAAACTTTTCATAACTCTCGGTAATAAACACTTGTAAAAGAATTTATGTTATAATAGAGTTTACTCATTGTTTATACTAAAAGTAGTGTATGTGAGAAACCCTAAGTGAGTTGGTGGAATACTAGGTTTATAACAATAAGATTATGGATTTGAATCCTCTTAGTTTCTTCATGTGTAAGCTTGATATCCTGCATATCTATAAAGGTAAGTAGTGATCGTCGATGTCAAGCGGTATGGATAAGGCGTAATTTGGTAAGCTTCTAGGTAGGAGGAGCACGAGGGCGAATCGAATGGATTAGAATAAGAAAGATCCGGGAACGTGTTCGATATGGAGTAGTCTTAGAATACGTAACCTCTTTTAAAATATTTATCAAGATGTGCGCAAGTGATAACAAAATACATTAGAAAGTCTGCAACATTACAAAGTCTGTCAATTATGAACAACCTAGATTGGTTTACATCTTTCGTATGGTTTGCAAAAACTATTGTACGGAAGATGGTGTGTTTACCCAGTGCGCACCATGCGGATTCCCACATCATAAGAAATTAAAAGTGGTCTATTGAAATACTAAAATTTCATAAGTAACAAACCTTAGCATATCTATTATGATATTAGAGCTAGTTCCGGTCGATATATGCTATATTTTTCTTTCCTATTATTTCATTGTCACGACCAACTCTAACACCGTAAACAAACACTCAAAACTCATCGAGAGATCAGAAACATTGTTCTTAATCAATCACGTGTTGTCTGTTCAAATGCAGGATTGGTATTTATTTTATGTTCGGTTCAAATTTCTTCTCTCACGCGTTGGGTTTTTGAAGTAAATACATAGTAAAAAAATAATTTAAACAAAAACATGATTTTAATGTGGTTTGCTTTGCAATGCATCATGTGACAGTCCTTTATATATATGTTAAAATTTTAAATATTGAATTTCAGGTGTTTGTTTCGGTAGAAGAAATTGTAACTCCGTTGACTTTGAATCCGAACATGTTGTCGTCGGAGATGCAACTGATTTTTTTTTTTAAAAAATATTATTATATTAATTTTGTAATAATTTTTCTAAAATATTTAGAATTTGAAATCTCTCCTGAAGTTGTCTAATAGTTAATTACTGTTGATTGAAACTGACCGGGTGGATCAATAAATTGGTATGGGCATTATTATATCACAGATATATATAGACAAACACGCATGACATATACATTTACATATACTTATGATGCACATATGATATATATACTCAGGCGCAGACATATAAACATATGTACGCTTATACATATATACATTTACATGTACCATATGCTTATACATACATATACGTGTATATATATATACATGTTATGTTACGCATTGATCACACACTTTTTAACTTTTTTGAGAACTATTTTTTAGGATTTTATCCGTTCTAAAACTATTCCAAAACGAACACGCTTATCTTTGTAATTTTTTTTAAGATAGAAAATCAAAAAGATATATATATCTTGTTGAAATAAATGATTCAATAAATTTAAATGATCATTGGTAGGATAATTTCATATTTATATAGCTTTTAAATCCTTCTCATTCTGATGCCACTCTCATCAATAGAACTTGCAACTGTCGGATTGGCACATGGAACCATCGAGGATGACCCTTTACCGATTCGGCAACACCTCGAGCAGTTCCTTGTGGTATGAGTTGGCGTATTCCGAGGCCAAAGGAAGAATCAGGAAAGGTGACAGGACTTGGCAGATAGCTTTCGGGTCCGGGTTCAAGTGCAACAGCGCGGTCTGGAGGGCCCTGAGGGCCGTGAACCCAGAAAAGGAGAAAAACCCGTGGATGAACGAGATTCATGAGTTCCCGGTCGAAGTGCCGAGGATCTCGAAAATCTAGAACAGTTAAAAAAAAACTCTGGTTTCATTATGTTGTAGAAAATAATTCTTGTGTACCTTTGCATTTGTTTATGAGTCAGTTCTCTTGATTTCCCATTCTTGACGTTGTAGAGTTTCTTGGGGTTGTGTGATCTTTTTGGTTTTACCCAATATATATATATATATATATATATATATATATATGTGTGTGTGTGTTTAATATTTTATTTTTGAGTGATATTTGGGATTTACCGTGAACATGACAAAGTCATGGCACTCAAGTCAATTTGTTTGTGCCACGTAAATCTCTATCCTCACGTGTTGTCTATCAATTAACACTTAGGGTATTTTAAATATAGTTGTATTTAGATTTAAAGATTAGTAAGAGATTAAATAGGAGCATTATAAAAAATACTCTTATTTACTTCTGATTCGTCTCGTTTGATTCGTTTTTTAAAAATATTTTCAACATTTTATAAAAAAAAAGTTATTGCATCAATTTTTTCTTTCTATTTTTTAAGATCATTTTCCATTTGCTTAAAAAGTAAAATAAAAATAGGCTGGAGTGCTTGGTTTAAGATAAACCAATATTCAACTACTACTTGTTTTTGGTGGTACTTACTTTATAATTAATTAATATTGAATATGAATAATTAAATGATAAATATACCTCTAATAAATAACACTTGAGATTAAATTTATTAATTATCCATTCTATTATATTTATTAGAATTTTTAACGTATTTTATCTTTCATCACACATTTTTCGAGAAATATTTTCTAAAAGAATATTCATTCTAAAACTACTCCAAATCATTGACGGTATAGTTTCATACCTATACATTCATAAGATCTCTTTCATTCCGGTGCGCATTCGTCTCATCCTCGTGTCCCTTCAGTTTAGTAGTCTCCAACTCCGTGTACCTCTCGCACTAGCAATCACTCTTTATATGACATCCTGTTTACTGATGAGAGTGGAGAAATTATAGTCAGAGAGAAATGGCACGGACAAATAGTGATTCCTGACAGAGTTCTAGATAAGAGAAACACAAAAACGAATCAAACGCATCGAAATGAAAAGGATCCAAGGACTGTATAATTATAGAACTATATAGTCAAAGATAATTTAAAATAAATGATTGAACTACTCATGACAACAAGATTTAGCATCTATCTTTGTTTTTCTATTTTGAGAAAACTCCAAAATTAAGTGTGTTAGCCTTGGAGTAATGAGTGACCTCTTGGAAAATATTTCTTAAGATTTCTTGCGAGTGAAGATAAAATAGGGTTGAAGGTCTCATGTTGGTCTGTGAAGAAAGTTTTAGCGCCCACAATATTCTCGGGTGTTATAAATGGTATCAGAGTTGATATTCTCCCAATACGATGTGATTCGATGATGAATCAAATAGAAACTAGTGGACATATGACTTCCCTAATTACTGATGAGAGTGGAAGAATGATCACTGGTGAGAAAGGACACAGATAAAGGACGGCTCTTGGCATGCTTTTAGGTAGGAGAGACATGGGACGAATCGAATGCACCAAAATAAAAGATATTCGATGATTCTATAGGTATGAGATTATACAATCAAAGATAATTTAAAAAAAAATTGATTGAGCTACTCATAACAATAAGATGCATTTACCTTTCAGTTGACTATCCTAAAAGGACTCTAAAGTTAAGCGTGTTCGCTCTAGAGTAACTATAGGATGAATGACCTCCTAGACGACACTTCTCAGAAAGTGTGCGAGTGAGAACAAAATATATATAAGAGGTATCATATTGGTCGGTGATGACAGTTTCAACATCTGTAACATTCGCGAGGCATTACATTCCACCCTCATCATAATCCAAGATATTACAGACCTATCAGCTTGTGTCTGGTTCATCCTTAAATGACGTCGTATTGGAAGATAACTGACTTTGATACCATTTGTAACGTCTCGCGAATGGTACATATGATGAAATTGTCCTCATAGATCAATATAAGATCTTTCAACATGCTTTGTTTTCACTTGCACACTTTTCGAGAATTACTTCTCAATAGCTCATTCTTGGTAAAACCATTCTACTTTAAACACGTTTAAATTTGAAATTCTTTCACAGAAACAACTGAAAAAGTAGATATATGTTATTGGTAGAAAATTCAATCAATTTGTTTAAGTTATCGTTAACTTTATAATCTCATCCCTACACAATTTTTTTCTTATTTCGGTGTGCATTCATCTCATCTCATATACCTCCGAGGAATCATTATTTATCCGTGTTCTCGCACCGACGGTTACCATTCACATCGTCATAGACCGAGATATCTCAAACTTCGTACCGCTTTCCCACGTTCGAAAGGGGGACATGAGATCGTGCCACGTGTATATATCATTATATTTATCGTGAATTAAAACGGTGAATAAGACCACTCATTGAAAATTTAAGATTTAATATTTGTTATGGATAAAATATAACTCCATATATAATATACGTTGACCACAATGTTTTATTGATATCTCACCAGTTGTCCAATGAGATAATCTTCATATATTATCCATTTATAGAAAACTAATTAAATATAATAACATTAGATGTGATGCTGGACCACGAGATTTTGTCAATGCGGGGGACTTGCACAAATTATTGAAGACAACTTGGAACAATTGGTACCTATGATAGATAGGTCGAATTTTTCAAAATTTATTTAGTTCAAGTTGTACGATTTAGTCGACACTAATTGAAAATTTATAGTAATTAATAATATGATTAGATAACATAGAGATTTCAATGTTATATACATACATCAATATTTCTTAAATTAAAATTTTAATATCATGAAAAAACCAAGTTAAACAAAATTTAAATTAAATATAAATTTTAATATTACATAACTTTTTTTATACTTTTAACTAATATTGTTTGAAATACATATATTTTCCTATTTCATTCTATTTTTTTGTTGGATGTTATATTTTACAAATCAAAATAAAAATGGATATAGACTATATCAACCAACAACTATATGAAACTCATACAATAAGTTTTTTTTTGGAAAATATAAAATGAAAAAACATCCTAAAAAAATAAAGTAAAATCATAAGAATGTATTTTACAGTGTTTTAATTTATAATTTTTAACCTTACCTTTAATTCCAAAATCAAAATTAAACTTTGTAGAGATGAGAGGATAACTGAATTCTAATTGTAACATAAAATCTTTAAAAAAATAGAAAAAAAATAATATTATAAATTATAATGTTCTATAACGCTCACGAGATATATATACGCATATATACACACCCCATAAAAAAACACCTATATATCTATTATAGATTGACCGAGTATACTATACTACACGGGTGCGTTGGAAAGTAAGGGTCATTGCCGCTTGGCAACATGAAGAGCTTAAACTGACCAATTTTCTCATGGCCCATTAATCCATAATATACATATACATACATATATATATATATGTAATAAGATGATTTTTAGGTTTCACGCAGGAAAAACAAAAATTATAACAGAAACCATCATGCAAAATTCGATGAAAGGATGAAAACGAGGATCATATAGTCTATGTGGATTAACACGGATTACGCAGGATTATTCCGGGAGAAAATCGGGCGGAAACGAGTTAAGGAACACTGTCATCGACCTTATATATATATATATATATATATATATATTGTTTTGAAAATTAATTTTTTCAATCATATAAACACGTAGGGCATGGAATAAAAATATAACCAAAGAGGTAATTTGCATTTTTAATTAAAGGGTTGAGAAGTTGACTTCTTTGTTGATGGGATGATGGATGACATGTGTTCTTTGAGAGTCGGCAAATAATGTGCTTTTCTGGTCAACTCCCAAAGATTCATTCACTAAGACCCTTTTCACTTTTATTTTATTTTGTATTTGCAATTAATTTTATATGTTTGTCTCATTTAAAATAAAATCCAAGATCGTATGGGCATATTGTGGTTGGTTGTTGATGAATGGATATTTGAAATGAATGAATTTGTCCAAAGAGCATGTCAATTGATTTTCTTGAGAACATCCATTTTTGATAGATCTTGAGTTTGATATGATTAATCTAGGGATGTCAAATGGGTCCAGTTTGTGAATCAGTTCACGAACCAACCCATATTTTTTCGATGTAGTTTTAGAAAATTTGAACCCGAAAAAAATGGTTCGAACGAACTAGTTCGTCACAAATTAACTCATGGCGAACTAACTTGGCGAGTCCACAAGATTTTTCCACGAGATAGAAAAAAAATATTTTTTTATTTAATTTTTAATATTTTAATATTTTTATATTGAAATTGTTTTTAATAGATATTTCATTTGTTTTATTTAATTTTAAATTTTTTTTATTGTATTTATAATAATTACAAAATTTTTAATTTATATTTATTTTTTATTTTTTAGTTATTTATTTGGTTCGCGAATCAACTCGTTTGACAGGTTGAGGCAAATAGTTTTTTATTTGCAAAAAAAAAAAACGGGTCGGATTGAACTAGACTAAAAAAATCCCAGATTGGGACCATCTGAACCGGATCAGGCCGACGCAACCGGTTTTACACCCCTAGATTAATCTAAATGTGTAGAATTCAATTAGGTCTGGATCAAATCGGTTTTGAATCACCAAAACAACCAATTTTGAGGAACAAATAAAACATTCGTTGCCCTTCAGAGACCCAAATTACCCGAGCCACAAAAAAATTCCAAACCAAGCAAAGCCCATTTTCGAACATATACTAGCCTCAATTCCTTGAGTTTATCAGTCAGAGTAACCGGTCTCGACCTTGCAAGGGTCGGGTACCCGAGGGTGCGGCAGGGACTCGGCACTTGACCGATGAGGCTGAGAGAGCTGAAATCGCTTTCGGCCTCTCGAAGACCTGAAACCATAATTTGGGTAATTTCTGATTAAATTTCGGATATCCGCGGGACAAATATCTACCTGTACCCCCTCCCCAGCCACAGCCAGCCCTAAAACCAGTATAGTTGACCACCCTTTGACTGCGTCTGTCATCAACAAAGCCAACAGTCACATGGTGATGTTTTTTTAGCCCATGCCTAAAAAACTTGTACAATTAGCAGTTGCAACATTCAAAGAAAGACGACATGCCTCGACAATTTCGGCTAAGGCAGAGAATCAAATTGTCCTTAATGTAAATTATTGCTTCTAACGTTGTACCAAAGAGACCAAACAATGAAATTTAAAAGCAATAATGACCACATTGAGAATGTGCACAAGCAAGAAACAAACACTAAGGCTCTCTTCAAATGGAGGTTGAGAGGAGAAAGAGTAAGTTTCTTCTTCCGTCTCTCGATTGCGTCTCAAAGGTTTTCCGAGTTCTCATTTGCTCTCTGCGTCGTATATATCCGTTCTGATTATCTATAAAGGAAAAAAAACAACCAACAAACTTCCCAAAAGAGATTCACATCTTCAGTATATGAAGGTGAAGCAAGACTAACATAAGATAAAAACACTAACCATTGCCTATTGCTATATCTGTGTATCATTCTAACCGATAACCAAAACCAAATCGTGACTGTTGTTCGGAAATATATAATCCCGAGTTAAGCCCTCTTCATATCTCTATCTTGAGTTAGGAACGAGCCACGTTCCTTGAAAGAATTATGCATGATGACATGACACACATAAAACACACACACATGCACAAAACAAATATGCATATGTACATACACCAGTAACATGGAAAGGTTCCCTAATCAGTGCTCCTCCTATTGGGAATTCTCCAGTAATTTCAACACATTACACACATGTATACACTGGTTTAGATGATAAAACTTGGGCAACTTTTCACTTTTACAACCCCCAAACTTTCACCAAGAATCTTTACAAAATTTCAAACCCTGAACTCTTTGACTAGATAGATTCCCATAATTATATAATTATTCCTATGAAATCCCATAACAGGATTATGATCAACAAAAAAATTGCCCCCCAAATCTCCATGCAATTTTCTAATGGTTTACTGTCTTTGCACAAACCTATTCAGAGGAACATTTCCGAATCATCGTTTTCCGCTGCAAATGTTAATGAATTAGCATGCGGCTTCCCTAACAGAACCTTCATATGCCATAAAAGAAGACAAGTTTCTCTAATTTCCCATCCACAAATTGAGTTCCAAGCTAAAACTTACAAGACCCGATAGAATGAAACTGACCGGTCACATTCAAAATCCACAACTATAAAGTAATGCCCGTGAAAGGGCTAAGCACCTCCCCATGTGCTCAATTCCAGACTAGTTACTGAACCAAATCGTTTAGCATATACCATTGATGATCTTACCTACAACAAGAAACTAGTCATCAATCACTTAGTTATCAGTTATCAATCTATATCGGATGATTCTTTGCAATTAAATTAATCTTGCAAATTGTAATGAAAGTGAAGAAAAGGATACACCAAATAAAACCCATGAGCGAAAGCCCCTGCCAAGACAAGAGTGAACAACCTGTCCCTCAGGACTGGCTTATGCCTCAGAGACAACCGAACTGCAGAACAATGAGCAAAAACACGATTTCATGAAATACCCACATCAGTCAAAGAATCCGAAATCCGAAATTCGGGCGATAAAGCAAATATAGAAGAATTGATCAATGAAATCAGACATGATCACCAAACGTGGAACCGAACAAATGAGCGAAATTAGACTTACCTAGGGGAAGAACAGGAGCGTATACGAGAGGGACCAAGAATTTGAATGGCGGTCCTTTCCTTTTCCTCTCAGTTACAGAATCTCGTAATCTTAGATCATGTCATCGCCCAAAAAAAAGAACAAAGAAACACAATTTAGGGTGAGTAAAAGGAACACGAATTGAAATCGTAAGAACCAAGGAGAGAGTTCAGAGATTTGGGATCTCATGAAAACTACTGTTTCGATGGATCCGAAGATGATTCCATTGAGTGAGTCCGGCAAAACTTGAGATTTCAGATGCAGATCTATGAAGGCGCTGAGCTTCCCCTACTATGTCGTAAATGGCGACTTTCCTCGTGCCCTGATTCCATGGCTATATAATATTATAAACCTTTAAATTTGTCTTGTTTCTCTAAATGACCCCTTAGCTTTTTATTTTACAACCATTGCCCCCTAAACTTTGATATTGTTACCATTTTAGGTGCATACTTTGAATCTCAGTTTATTGATTTGTTTTCGAATTTTAAAAGGGAAAATGGCAAATAAATACATCAATTTGTTAATTTCTTACTCATAAATACATGAACTTGTAATCTCCCAACAAAATACATCAATTCGCAATTTTCTGGCAAATTAGTACATAGACACTAACACCGTTAACTGTGTAACAGTTTCCGGTGAACGGTACTGACGTGGCTCGCCGGATTTTCCACGTCAGCGTCACATGTCAAACATTTTTCCACGTCATTAAAAAATTAAAATTAAAATTAAATTCATTTAAAATAAAAATAATTTAAAAATAACTTAATAAATTAAATTTTAAATTAAAATTACAAATTTGAAAAAAAAAAATTTAAATTAAATTCAAAATTAAAATTTAAAAAGAAATATTAAAAAAATAAATCTTTAAATTTCAAAACTAAAATATATACACACATAAATATATATATATATATATATATATTTGTAAATTTATATATATATATACATATTTTAGTTTGTAAACATATATACACACATAAAATATATATATATATATATATATATATATAAATTTACAAAAATATATATATATATATACATATTTATGTGTGTATATATGTTTATATATATTTTTGTAAATTTATGTATATATATGTGTATACATTTTAGTTTTGAAATTTAAAGTTTTATTTTTTTAATATTTCTTTTAAATTTGAATTTTGAATTTTTTGAATTTAATTTAAAATTTATTTTTTCAAATTTGTAATTTTGTAATTTTTATAAATTTTAAAATTTATTTTTTAAAAAATTATTTTTATTTTAAATGAATTTAATTTTAATTTTAATTTTTTAATGACGTGGAAAAATGTTTGACATGTGACGCTGACGTGGAAAATCCGGCGAGACACGTCAGCACTGTTCACCGGAAACTGTTACAAAGTTAACGGTGTTAGTGTCTGTGTACTAATTTGCCAGAAAATTGCGAATTGATGTATTTTGTTGGGAGATTACAAGTTCATGTATTTATGAGTAAGAAATTAACAAATTGATGTATTTATTTGCCATTTTCCCAATTTTAAAATTAGAAATTTATTTTAAAGTTTTTATTCAGTTTTCTCTTTTTCATTTTCGTATTTGATACCAATTCAATTTGAATTCGATTAATGTCATTTTCAAAAAGTCATATTCAATTATTTTTGGGATAAAATTAGGTTTGATATAATTATGTGTTAATCTATTCATTTTTTGAATATCCGAATTGAGGATTTGAATGGTAGTGGTTTTTATTTTTGTTTTTTGGCTTTAGTTTTTTATTTTTGGTTTTTGGTTTTTGTAGTTTGTATAGTTTTTAGAAAACTTGATTGGTAGAAATAATATTTTAGTTTTTAATTTTAGATTTTATATTTAAGAATTACCAAAAAGATGTTTAGCATTAAAACAAAAATTATATTTATTCATATTAGTAATAACAATAATAAAAAATTGTACATCGAGAATCTCATAATATTGCTATAATTTCATCTCGAATTCCTTACATATACTTAATCGAAACTCATTCTAGTTGTCTTCTTTATTTTCATCATCTGATTACTTATTTTCATTTATTACATCACTTTCTTCAATAAGTTGTCTCAAAGTTAATATTCTCTTTATAATATAGGTATAATGTGAAATTATTTTTAAAATAATAGATATTTTTGTCTTTAGAATAATTTATATTTATTTTTTAATAAAAATGAAAAGATTTAGTAACAAATCTCTAAAATCTACAAAAGAATGGTTTTTGGCTTTTACGTGATTTTCTAAAAAAAATTGACTCATCGGATTTTTAAACAAAGTGAAATAGAAAAAAATTGACCGGAGATTTTTTGGATTTTTAACTTTCAAAAACTCGCAAAACCTCTTCCATTCGAAATGTATATAGAAGGAGAAAAAAAGTTAACCAAATAAAATTTATATAATTAAAGCGAATTAAATATTCTATAATATAAATGTTATTATTTAATCGTAAACAAATTTAATCAGAAAATTGTGTTCACATATTCTATAATAGTGTAATTTTTCCAATAGAGTTATCAGTTTTGGGATTGTTTTTCAGCCCCTGAATTAGTTCCTAAAATACAATGTTCATGGGAACAAGAAGATTAGATCACAATTTCCATTGCCTTTTCCCATTCTAGCAAATAGTTCTATGTAAAAAGAGAATAGAGAAGCCACAAGTGGTTGGCTCAACTGGTAAGTGGGTATACGCAAAGAGTGCTCCACCCAGGTTCGAACCCCACGCTTGGCAAATCACATATTATCAAAAAAAAAAAGAATGGAGAAGATGAAAAAAAAAGAGCCCAATTTAGATGAGTCAATCAATGATGCAAGGATGCAAAATGTCTGTCTTATCCCGAATTCAAATCTCAAATTAGGAAGGAGAGCGTAATACTAATCACATGGTTTGCTTTCGCACCTAGAATTAGTTTAGGTTTCGATCCAGAATACCCGGTTATCAAAACAAAAAGATAAAAAAAAAAGTGGTTAACAGGAAAATTGAAAACTTTTGTATAAGGAACGAATGGAAAGTTTTTCTATTTGTCATCTCTTTTCTTTAATTAATAGATATTGATCTATTCAACTCTTATGTGTGTTTATAAATTATGTACTCTTTGTTCTTCTGATTTGTTAATGGTATATAGCAGGGGCATGCATTATCTTAATTAGTTAAAACTATACATTATTCCCTATTTTTATTTTCAATTTGCTTTTCAATTTTTATAAGCCTTCGTATATTATTTTTTTTCAATGTTTTTCTAAATTACCAATTTTTTTGTGACACATGTCGTAAAATAATATAGTCCTCCTGAACACATGCATGTGTACATGTTCCTACGATGTGAATGTCTTGTGTTCATCGTTAGGGTCACGTGTCTGAATTGCATGGATCGATCTGGTGGGTTCAGTGTGGTTTGTCCACAAATATTTCAAGTGATTCCAGCATTTCGAGTGACCGCAGTGTTAGGTTGTTTCCTCTTCATCTGCCCCATCAACTCACGTGATTCTTCCCCCCACAACAAAGCACAACGTACGGTTACATGTTTTTATGTACATTTTAATTTCATTTTTACGGCATGAGATTTCGTTGTATTATTACAATGTCGGAGCAAATTTTACACCTTTGGAACGACTTGAAGAGCTTGTAAAACCTACCAATAAACGAAATAAAATGTCCATAATTTTTTTTTATAATCATGAAGTTCACTGGGTTTTCGACCTACTTAATCCTTTGAATCCGTTTCGTTCCCTCCTCTCCACTAGTGGAATCGAATCTAAGACCTCAAAATGATTTTTTCACCTTTCAATCGTTGAGTCACCAACTAGTAGGTGAAATACCCATAAATTGAAATTGATGAACGAGTACCATTTTGTTCATCGTTAATATATTCACGTTTTCACAGTCTATGCTTCGGATCATAGGACATCATATAAATTCTTTTTAGTGCTTTGACTAACCAAGAACCTCGAACGTGGAATCTTAAATGGGGACTATAACTCTTTCATGAAAGTCTTGCATCCAAATGCAATTAAACGAAGATATATCAATTGCGATAAGAGATACATATGATCCATCTATATATCACGACGGCAATGTATAAAACAATTAGCTCTTGCTTCGAAAAACAAAAGAACGTGGAACATGTTGCACATTTTGCATGTACTACATATATTGATATCGTATTCGTTACACTCAATGAACTAAAAGGTGATGTAAAGATTCAAATGTTTTGCTCCTGTTCCCAAAATTAGTTTGGGTCTCGGTGCAGTACACATGGTTACAAAAAAAAAAAGATTCAAATGTTAATTATCAAGATCTAAGATTCAAATGATATCTACTTTTGCGACTGTTTTAAAAAGTCTATACAAGAATACACAAATCTAGGATTGGTAACTATTTTTTTTTAAGACATGGATTCGAACTCGAGATCTTTTATAATTTATATTGCTCTTAGCGAAACTATTTCGTGTTTTCTAGCAGTGTTTGACCAATGGATCTTAAGAATGTCCGAGATCGGTTCTTTTAAGTGTAGAAAAACAAATGAATTCAATATTGGCGAGTTTTTTTTATTTGAATTTTGTAGACTGTTTCGGTATAGATAAAAAAACACCGTAGAGTGAAAAACCCAACACTATTGTCCTCTCGGACACCTAAACAATGTATACAACCCTACAACTCATAAGAGTTTAGGGTTTTAAGGGTTTACCGTAGAACTGAATATTTTGGTTCGGTCGATATAAAACCGAATCAAATTGAACTGAACAACATGTAATCTCCCTGAACTTAAACCTAATTTGGTATGATAATTCTAAAACAAAATTAATTGAATTCAAACTGAATAACCAAAGAACCAAATGAAAGCGATTATTTAAATCATATTTTTTTTAAATAAAAACCAAACTTGAATGGAACCAAAACACAAACTGAATTAAAACCCAACACTATGGACCTCTTCTTAGTTTGCGATTGTCGTGTCTCGTAGGGTTTCATTTGGGCTTCTGAGTGTGGACCTTTGTTGCTTCCCAAACATTTCAACATCTGAAAAAAATGTGACCATACCAATGTCTTCCCAAAGGTAGGGACCGTCCTTTGCACTGACAATTGGCATTACACAAAATAAAGTTGCATTCAATCCAAACTTTGTTTTATTCGAAATGGTCAGTGGTCACACTATATATACTTTAGTTTATATTCTATTCATAATCATACCACATTACCATATTACCCCCCAAAAAGAGTATGTTACATTGCATTTGAATTTTTTGCATTACCATATTACCCTAAAAGAGAGTTATTAAAATTGTTGTGATTTTTCCTTGGCTTAGCTACCATTT